ATTCTATATATGTCAGTTAAGTCTAGGTTGTTGATTGTGATATTGAGTTCTATAGTTTCTTTATTCAACTTTTGTTTGGAGGATCTGTCAAATGGTGAGAGAGGTGTGTTGAAGTCACCCATAATTATTGTGTTGTGGTCTATTTGATTCTTGAACTTGAGGAGAATTTGTTTTATGAATGTTGCAGCACCATTTTTTGGTGCATAAATATTGACAATTGTTATTTCTTGTTGGTGAATGGTTCCTTTTAACAGTATATAATGTCCTTCCTTATCCCTTTTGATTAACTTAGTCTTGAAGTCGATTTTATTCGATATGAGGATGGCCACCCCTGCTTGCTTACTAGGACCGTGTGCGTGGTATATTTTTTCCCAACCTTTTACCTTCAGCCTGTGTATGTCTTTTTCAATCAGATGTGTCTCCTGGAGGCAGCATATTGTTGGATTTGTTTTTTTAATCCATGTTACCAGCCTATGTCTTTTTATTGGAGAGTTTAAGCCATTAACGTTTACAGTTACTATTGATATATGGTTTGTACTTCCAGCCATGTTTGATTATTTATCTTCTTTTTTTAATTTAATTTAGTTTGTTTCTCCATGGTTAGCTTTCCCCCCGCCCTCTGTTTTTATAGAGGCACTTCCCACTGATGGTTTTGGTTATTGTTTTTCATTTCTTCCTCGTGTAGTGTTTTGCTCAAGATGCTTTGCAATGCTGGTTTTCTGGCTGCAAATTCTTTTAGCTTTTGTTTATCATGAAAGATTTTTATTTCGTTGTCGTACCTGAAGCTTAATTTTGCTGGATACAGAATTCTTGGTTGGCACCCATTGTCTTTCAGTGTTTGAAATACATTGTTCCAGGATCTTCTCGCTTTCAGTCTGTGATGAAAAATCCGTTGTTAATCTTATTGGTTTACCCCTGAATGTAATCTGCCTCCTTTCTCTTGTAGCTTTTAATATTTTCTCTTTGTTCTGTATATTGGATATCTTCATAACAATGTGTCTTGGCATTGGTCTACTGTGATTTTTTTGTGCTCGGTGTCCTGTATGCATCTAAAATTTGTATATCCATTTCCTTTTTTATTTCTGGAAAGTTTTCTGTAATTATTTCATTCAGCAGGCTACTCATTCCCTTGGTTTGAATCTCTGTACCTTCTTCTATCCCGATGACTCGTAGGTTTGGTTTTTTTATGTTATCCCATATCTGTTGGATGTTTCTCTCGTGATTTTTAACCAGCCTTTCTAAGTTGGCTAGGCTCTTTTCAAGATGATATATTTTGTCTTCATTATCTGACGTTCTGGCTTCTACTTGCTCCACTCTGTTAGTGATACTCTCAATTGAGTTTTTAATTTGGTTTATCGTTTCCTTCATTTCTAGAATTATTGTTTGATTTTTTTTTATAATCTCTATCTCCTGATAAAGATGCTTAACTTCCTCTTTTATCTGTTTATGTAATTCATTTTTAAAGTGTTCTTTCACTGTTTGGATTTGCTGTCTCGTATCCTCTTTAAGGTTCCATTCCATCTGTCTAAGGTATTCCTTGAGTTCTTTATATGACCATTATTCTGCTGAGTCTAGGTCCTCCTGAATATTTAGGCTGTCCTTCATTTTTTGTACCCCTTTTCTTCCTTGCTTTTTTATGCTGCTCATGTTACTTCTTGTTCTGTTTGACTGCTGAGTTACTGTTTACTCTTATAAGTTTATTTGATGCTTGGTAGGAAAGATATTCGAAGGGAAGGGAAGAAGTCACTAAAGAGAATGAGAGTAGGCAGGTAGAATTCAAGGAAGGGGGAATAAGAAAATTGAAAAGAAATGAAAAGACAAAAGAAACAATAACAAAACACACACAAAAAAGTTAGAAAAGAAAGAAAGAAAGAAAAGAAAAAAATTTTTTTACAAAAATAATAATGATAATAAAAATAATGAAAATTAAAATTTAAAAAATTATAATAATAATAAAAATAAAAAAATTAAAAAAAATTAGAAACATTAAAAAAAAGTTAAAGAACAACAACAAAAAAATTGAAAATGAAAGAAAAAAAGAAAAAAAAAGAAAAAGAAAAAAAAATGATAATAATAATAATAATAATAAATGCAGTCATAGAGTTCGATTCATTTCTCTTCCAGTAGGTGGAGCTGTGCCCACTGGGTCAAGCTTCTCCTCTCACTAGGTGGGAACCAATCACTGTGTAGCAGCTCTTCCTCACAGACTGGGCGGGTCTCCAATCCTGAGTGCCTAGGGCCTTCTCTTGTGTTTCCTCAAGCCAGGCCGCGCTCACCTGTGACGCTCACCACAATACTGGCTACATGCCATGTCTGCTGCTCCTGGGAGCCTTGTTGCGCTGGTTTCAATGCAGTTATCTCCTCCGCCCGTGACGTTAGTTCTCTGCCAAGGTGGTATCACATGCAAATGGTGACCGTTCGTTCCCTTTGCCGGGTGACCAATGCAATGGGTGGGTCCTGACTGTCTCTCCCAATCCCCGTTTCTATCCTGTGGCCACTGCCTATGAAGGCTCGGTTGGTTTTTACATCTGAAAGTTCCTAAGGGCCAACCAGTTATTTCAGCGGGATTGTTAGTGCTGAGTCACGAGAAGCAGTCGAACCGGAGCTTGGATGCAACCGATCCGGGCTCGGTGTGTGTGTTCTGATGGGCCCAGACTGTACACCCCAGATCCACGTCAGCTCAGCATTGCCTAGTGATCCTGAGCAAACAGCATTTATACAATTTACAGCTCCCTATGCCCGCGCAGTTGAAGAGGTCAGAGACTTGATCTCTCCCTGCCCGCTGCCATGTTAGATCTCCTCAATGATATTCATGTTGCCCTTATAGCTTCCTGGCATAAGCAAGTTCTTGGGATTATACAAACTGGTGCTTCTGTTTCCAGTCCAGATTTCTAGAAATTAAACCCTGCCGCCGTCGCCTCTTCCCCGGGGGCCATGCTCAGGGGCGCCGCGCTCGTCCGCGACCGTAGCTGCGCCGCCGACCGGTGCCCAGCCCCCGGGGCCCAAGCGGCTGCCGCCGCAGCTCTCCGGCTCCCTCCTCTGGTGCACGGGTCCCCTCGCAGGGGGATGTAGAATGACCCCAGAGCAGGCTCTGCCCGAGGGTGCAGCGGCGAACAGGCAACCCAGGCGCTCAAGGCTGCAGTCCAGCCTTTGGAGGACAGGGCTCGGCACGCAGCCCAGCTCCAACCTCTAGGTGCGGTTGCCGGACAATGTAGACATAGCCATCAAGACAGCTAGCAGAGAGCAAATGGCAGCTCCCACGGAGTGGATTTTCGGCACAGAAACCGCAGCCCAGCCAACAATCCCAATCCACAAACTCTCCCTGTATAAAAAATATTCCAAAAAAAATAAATGCGGGGCGCACTGAGCTTTCTTTGCCTAGGGTACTTACAATCCACTGCTGATTACACATTCACCTTCTCTGCCTGGAGCGAAGCGAAAGAGAAAGCAGATGGGAGCAAAGCGCCCGTGGCTCTGGGCGGCAAAGCGTCCGGGAGCCAAGCGTCTCTTTTTCGATCTCTTTGTTCTTCCTGCTGCTTGGCAAAGTGGTCCACTACAGATTAACGGTGAAAGGAGCTCTTACACGCTGTGCGAAATCTCGATTAAAGCCGCTGCTCTGAGCACCACGCTCAGCACTTCAGCAACCCCCGTGCACAGCGGCCATCTTCTCCCAATTAACCAAGAAGGAAGTTTATTGCATTGAGTGAATTCATTAAAAGAATAAGAAGTCAACAAGTAAATGACCTAAAACTTTATCTCAAAGCCCTAGAAAAGAAGAACAAATCAACACCAAAAGCAGTAGAAGACAAGAAATAATTAAAATAAGAGCTGAAATTAATGAATTGAAACCACAGTAACAATTGAAAAAACTGACAAAACAAAAAGTTGGTTCCTTGAAAAGATAAATAAAATAGATAAATCCCTTGCCATGCTAATGAAGAGAAAAAGACAGAAAACTCAAATTACTAAAATACAATATGACGAAGGAAACATCACAACAGACACATCTGAAATACAGAAAATAATTAGAAACTATTTTAAAAATTTATACTCTAATAAAATAGGAAATATCAAAGACATCAACAAATTTCTTGAGAAATATGACTTACCCAAACCTAGGATGAGGTCATACATGATTTAAATAGATCAATTTCAAGTAAAGAAATAGCAAATGCCATCAAAAGCCTACCAACCAAGAAAAACCCAGGATCAGATAGATGATGAAAGAAAAACCTTCCATGATAAACAAAAGTTTAAAGAATTTACAACTAGAAAGCCTGTACTACAGAACATTGTCAGCAAAATATTCCGAGAAGATGAAATAAAAAAACAATGAAAAAATTAGCAGAGAGATGTATTACACTAAAGGAAAATCTAATCAGAGGAGAAAACAAGTCATGTTAAATACCAAACATAAACAATAATGGCTGGGAATACAAATCATGTCTCAATAATAACCCTGAATGTTAGTAGCCTAAAATCACCAAACAACATAGACTAGCAGATTGTACTAAAAAAAATGTTGCCTCCAAGGGACTCATCTCAAAGAAAAAGACATCCACAGAATGAAGGTGAAGGTTTGGGAAAAATCATACCACTCACATGGACTGCGGAAGCAAGTAGGGGTTTCCATCCTCATATCAAATAAAGTAGACTTCAAACAAAAGTCAATCTTCTCAGCCCAAAGGAACAATCTGTGAGATAAATAGAGAGCCTATATGTTGGGAGCAAATCTTTACCCCTCACACATCAGAAAGGGCACTAATCTCTAGGGTATATAAAGAACTCCAAAAGCTAAACATCAAAAATAAATAAATAAAAATAAAAACAAAACAAACAAACAACAACAACAACAACAAAAAAAAACACAATAACCTAATCAAAAAATGGGCCAAGGACCTACAGAGACACTTCTCAGAAAATGATACACAGTCAATCAACAAATATATGAAAAAATGTTCATCATCAGTAGCAATTAGAGAAATGCAAATCAAAACTACTCTTAAGATTTAATCTGACTCCAGTCAAAATGGCATCACTATACCAGACCTTCAACTATACTACAGAGAAATAGTAAAAAAACCAGCATGGTATTGGCACCAAAACAGAGTGGTAAACCAATGGTACAGAATAGAGGACACAGAGACTAACCCACAAAACTACAATTAGCTTTTATTAGACAAAGGGGCCAAGAACATGCATTGGAGAAAAGATAGCCTCTTCAACAAGTGGTGCTGGAAAAACTGGAAATCCACATGCAACAAAATGAAATGAAACCCCTATCTCTCACCATGCACAAAACTCAACTCAAAATGGATCAAGTACCTAGGAACAAAACCAGAGACCCAGCATCTAATAGAAGTAAAAGTAGGCCCTAATCTCCATCATGTGGGATTAGCCCCCTTCCTTAATAACAATTTTGTGGTGCAATAATTAAAATCAAGGGTGCAGTGCAGAATGCAGAGACTTTGCTTTTGGGTCACCAGACTGAGCTCTGAACACAGAACAAGGTAACCCCAGCACCCCCCACCACATCAAACACCCTAGGCGGGAAAAAGACAGAATCCATCTTGGAAAATCTTACTTGCCATTTATTGGTGGGCAGGGCTACCAGCATGGTTCTGTAGCTGATCAGAGAGATTTTGAACTATATAAGAGCAATATAAATATATAAGGGAAAAACATTAACACAACAGTCACACAGAGCTGGAAAGAAGCATGAGCCATATGAAAAGACAAGGAAAGAAAGTACCACAAATGATGCAGGACAATTCAGTATTAGAAGAGGTAACATCTGCAGCAGAAGGAATGTCAGATAAAGATTTCAGGATATACATGGTTCAGATGATCTGGAGTCTCAAGGAAGACATTAGACTGCAAATGCAGACAACGAACGACCACTTTGACAATGAATTACATAAATAAATCCAAGAAGCAAAAGATCAACTATACAGGGAGATAGAGGTTATAAAAAAAAACCGAACAGAAATCTTAGAAATGAAGGAAATAATAAACCAAATTAAAGACTCAAATGAGAGTATTACCAGCAGAGTAGAACACTTAGAAGATAGAATATCAGACAATGAAGACAAAGTATATCATCTCAAAAAGACTGTAGACAGCACAGTAAGACTGATAAGAAACCACGAGCAGAACATCTAAGAAATATGGGATAGCATAAAGAGACCAAATTTAAGAGTTATTGGGATACAGGAAGGTATAGAGGTCCAAACCAAAGGAATGAGCAAACTGTTCAATGAAATAGTATTAGAAAACTTCCCAGACATGAAGAATGAAACAGAAATCCAAATTCTAGAAGCCTACAGGAGGCTGAATGTGCAAAATCACAAGAGATCCACACGAAGACAATTATAATGAAGATGTCCAACATACAAAACAAGGAGATAATTTTAAAAGCCACAAGAGAAAGGAAACAGATTACATTTAGGGGTAAACCGGTTAGGTTAATGGCTGATCTTTCAACACAGACTCAGAAAGCTAGAAGATCCTGGAACAAATTTCAAATGCTGAAAGTTAATTGGTTCCTACCAAGAATCTTGTATCCAGAAAAATTCAGCTTGAAGATTGAAGATGAAATAAAAACCTTCCATGATAAACAAAAGTTAAAATAATTTGCAGCTAGAAAAACCAGCACTTCAAAACATCCTTGGCAAAACATTACATGAAGAGGAAATGAAAAATAACAATGAAAAACAACAGTGGGAGGTAGTACAGTAAAGGAAAAACTAATCAAAGAGGAAAAACAAATCAAGTTAAATAACAAAAATAAACAAATATGGCTGAAAATACAAACCATATCTCAATAATAACCCTAAATGTTAATGGCTTAAACTCAACAATCAAAAGACATAAGCTAGTAGACTGGATTTTAAAAAAAGATCCAACAATATGCTGCCTATAGGAGAGTCATCTGATAGGAAATGATATACACAGACTGAAGGTGAAAGGTTGGGAAAAAAATCATACCACTCACATGGACCTCAGAAGCAAGCAGGGGTGTCCATACTCATATCAAATAAAATAGACTTCAAGCCAAAGTTAATCAAAAGAGATAAGGAAGGACACTACATACTGCTCAAGGGAACCATACACCAACAAGACATAACAATCATTAAAATATATGCCCCAAACAATGGTGCAGCTATGTTCATCAAACAAACCCTTCTCAAGTTCAAGAGTCAAATCAACCACAACACAATAATCATGGGTGATTTTAACACACCACTCTCACCACTGGACAGATCTTACAAACAAAAGTTGAGTAAAGAAACTATAGAACTCATAAACACAATTAATAACATAGACTTAATTGACATATATAGAATATATCAACCAACATGAAGCAGATACACTTTTTTTCTCAGCAGCACATGGATCCTTCTCAAAAAATAGACCATATATTATGTCACAGGGCAACTCTTAGCAAATACAAAGGAGTAGAGATACTACCATGCATTTTATCTGATCATAATGGAATGAAATTAGAAATCAATGATAAAATAAGGAAGAAAAATTCCTGCACCACATGGAGAATGAGCAATATGCTAATGAATGAACAATGGGTTACAGAAGACATCAAAGAGGAAATTAAAAAATTCTTAGACGTAAATGAAAACCCCGATACAACATATCAAAATCTCTGGGACACTATGAAAGCAGTAGTAAGAGGAAAATTCATTGCATGGAGTTCATTCTTTAAAAAAAGAAAAAGCCAAAAAATAAATGACCTCACACTACATCTCAAAGTCTTAGAAAAAGAAGAACAAATCAGTAGCAAATGCAATAGAAGGCAAGAAATAATTAAAATCAGAGCTGAAATCAATGAAATTGAAACAAAAGAAACAATTGAAAAATTTGACAAAACTAAAAGCTGGTTCTTTGAAAAAATAAATAAGATTGACAGACCTTTAGCCATGCTAACGAAGAGAAGGAGAGAGAGAACCCAAATTACTAGCATATGGGATGAAAAAGGAAATACCACAACAGACACTACAGAAATACAGAAGATCATTAGAAATTATTTTGAAACCTTATATTCTAATAAAATAGAAGATAGTAAAGGCATTGATAAATTCCTTAATTCATATGATCTGCCCAGATTGAGTCAGGAAGATATACACAACTTAAACAGACCAATATCAAGAGAGGAAATAGAAGAAGACATCAAAAGATTACCAACCAAGAAAAACCCAGGACCAGATGGATATACAGCCAAGCTTTACAATACCTTTAAAGAAGAACTAATTCCAATACTCTACAATCTATTTCAAATTCCAAAATTCATTCTACGAGGCCAATATCACCCTGATTCCAAAACCAGACAAAGACAGCTCAAAGAAAGAAAACTTCAGACCAATATCTCTAATGAATACAGATGCAAAAATCCTCAATAAAATTCAGGCAAATTGGATACAAAAACATATCAAAAAGATTGTGCACCATGATCAAGTGGGATTCAACACCTGGATGCAAGGTTGGTTCAACATACAGAAACCAATAAATGTAATTCATCACATCAATAGACTTAAAGATAAGAACCATATGATTATTTCAATAGATGCAGGAAAAACATTTGACAAAATACAGCATCCCTTTATGTTCAAAACACTAGAAAAACTGGGGATAATAGGAACTTCCCTCAGTATTGTAAAAGCTATCTATAAGAAGCCTCAGGCCAGCATCATTCTAAACAGAGAAAAACTGAAGGCATTCCCTGTAAAATATGAAATAAGACAGGGATGCCCTCTCTCACCACTTCTATTCAACATAGTTCTTGAAACACTGGCTAGAGAAATTAGATGAAAGAAATTAAAGGAATAACTATAGGAAAAGAAGAACTTAAACTAGCACTATTTGCTGATGATATGATTCTATACCTAGAAGGCCCAAAAAACTCTACCAAGAAACTTCTCAAACTAGTAAATGAATTCAGCAAAGTGCAGGATATAAAATCAATACCATAAATCAAAGGCATATCTGTATATCAGTGACAAATCCTCTGAAAAGGAAATGAAGAAAACTATCCCATTCACAATATCCTAAAAAAAAACAAACAAAACAAAACAAAACAAAAAAAAACTTGGGAATCAACCTAACAAAAGAGGTGAAAGATCCTTACACTGAAAACTATAGAACCCTAAAGAGAGAAATAGAAGAAGACCTTAGAAGATGGAAAGATCTACCTTGCTCATGGATAGGCAGAATTAATATTATTAGAATGACCTTACTACCAAAAGCACTATACAGGTTCAATGCAATTCTGATCAAAATCCCAATGGCATTCCTCATACAAATAGAAAAATCAATCATGAAATTCATCTGGAAAAATAAGAGACCCAGAATAGCTAAAGCAATTCTAAGCAGGAAAAGCGAAATAGGTGGCATGACTATACCAGACCTTAAACAATATTACAGAGCAATAGTAACAAAAACAGCATGATACTGGCACCAAAACAGGCTAGTAAACCAATGGTACAGAATAGAGGACACAGAGACTAACCCACAAAATTACAACTACCTTAGGTGCCAAAACCATGCACTGGAGGAAAGATAGTATCTTCAACAAATGGTACTGGGAAAACTGGAAATCCATATGCAACAAAATGAAATTGAATCCCTATCTCTCACCATGCACAAAGTTAACTCAAAATGGATCAAGGATCTAGGGATTAAACCAGAGACTCTGCATATAATAGAAGAAAAAGTAGTCCCTAATCTCCATCACGTGGGGCTAGGCTGCAACTTCCTTAATAAGATGCCTATAGCACAAGAATTAAAACCAAGAATCAACACATGGGACAGATTCAAACTAAAATTTTTTTCACAGCAAAAGAAATAATATATGAGGTGAATAGGGAGCCTACATCCTGGGAACAAATTTTTACCCCTCACACATCAGATAGAGCTCTAATCTCTAGGGTATATAAAGAGCTGAACAAGATAAGCACCCCCCTCACCCCCCCAAAAAAAACAAATAATACAAACAATAAATGG